TGTTCTTCATCCTGATTTGTGGAGCTTTCGGTAAAGCTAATTTGCTCAAGAAGCCCTTAATCGTGAGAGAAAACAAGCGTATTTCTATGGTTCATTGAAACAAAATGATAGGGCAAAGAGAAGATTCAGTTTGTGTAATTTCTTCCCTAAACTCGGTCACTCATGGCCCTCTGTAACTTTGAATCATGGCTGTTTGGAATAGTTTCCAGATTATCAGCACTCAAACAGTGCAAAGTAAATAAACCTTACTTTAAAATAAACACAGTTAGTGTCAGACAGTTTGAAACTACAGGCTGACCGTGTCTTCTCCACAGTCTAAACAGCACATTATGCTCTGTGGCTAGCTAATACTAAAACAATTCAATGCCATGTATCCCGGTGCAATAAAGACAACTGCAATCACAATAGATAAAATACATGAAAACGTGTGTGAAAATGTTGTCTATTATGAACCAAACACATAGAGTATTTGAAGCCCTGTAGGAACTATTTGCTCACCATATCACTAAACAAGATAGTTTCATTAATAATGGATGGAGATTCAAGGCTATCATCTTGTTTGTTTTACATTTTAGGTGGCACATTGGAGAATGGACTGTCACACCTTAACAGGGTATAAGGATCGAGGGTCTGATACTCTTGCAGTAACCTTAAATGAATAATTGAACAAATCAAATAAAGGATCTCAAATTCCTCACACACTCACTACAGTCTAGAGTGAACATTCACCTGGTTATAAACACTAATATTGGCTGATATATATATCTTTACGTTATCTGCAATTTGATATCTTTTACTTTTTTAAATGAGAAAGATAATTTTTGACAGAAAACAGCTTTGAATTGGTGAGTCAAAATGGATGTTAAATCCAGTTCCACATTGCATGATACGTTGCTGTTACGACTGGCATTGTTGTCAAATGTGAGGATAACAAAAAATATATGTATTTCTTATTTTTGACAGCTCCTATTGTAATCACTGAAAGTACCTGTGTTCTGTTTCCTTACCTCAGCGCAGTAACCCAGCTTCTGGTTTGGCGTCTCCAAGAAATTGGTGACAACAAACAGAACCGCTTCACCCTGTAGAGAAAACACTGTGAATTTGTATTTATGTTTACATCACAAATATGTGCATTTGGGTCAATTGTATACCAACAAATTATTTAAAAAAATGGTAATTGGCAATTTTTTATGTAAAATTGGTTAAAAATCTCTTATTTAGCTTCTTAAATGTGAATATTTCGTTTTCTTTAGTCCTCTTCGACACTAAACTCAATGTCTTTATATTACACAAAACAAGATCATTAATGATGTCATCCTTTGCTTTGACAAACACCTATCAATATATGTCCCCACTTTTTGCCATTGTAGACAAAACAACAAGTTGATAAAGAAATCGACAGACTAATCAAAAATAACGGTCTCCATTAGTGATACACTTTACATTGTTGGCCCATTATGCTTATGGAGCTGCACCTGCATGCTTCATCCATACATTCAGGCAGACATAACTAAGCATGTATCAAAAATGAAAAACATTCTGTATTAACTTCCCTATGTAGTTAGCATGTGTGTGTGTCAAGTTTCCTGGGCTTTTTGTGTATATTCCCCACTTGAAAGGGATGAGGCGTCTACTGGACTTTGGGAACAGGATTTCACTCCAGTGACACAGATTCTTTTCAATACTTTTTATTTGTATTTAGAAGTTCACTTTATGCAGCACTTTATGCATTCTGTATTAACTTCCCTATGTAGTTAGCATGTGTGTGTCTTTCACCCAGTGTTGATGTGTGGTGCTCTGGATTAAAGGTCCCCTATTATAATATTTGTCATCAATATATTATAGGTCTCAGATATATACAAAACATGTCTCTGAAGTGTTTGGCTCAAAATACCAAACAGATCCCCAATTGTAGCATCCCATAATCCTCTCTGTTTCAGCCCTGTTTCAAACGTGCAGATTCTCTGTCCGTTACTTTAGATGAAAATAAGGAGCCACTCCCCACACCCTTCTGAGAGATATTTGGTTAAAAAGAACACAATGGTGCTCTAGGAGGAGATTCAGGTGATAAGGTGGGGGGTGGGGGGTTACCTTGGTTGGTGATTGGCTAATGGTTACACAAGCCAACAATTCGTTATGACATCATAAAGTAACCAAACTCTGATCAGCTCATTTTCAGACAGGTTTTTATATAAATGGATCAGGACAAAAAGAGAGAGAAACTGAAACTTTCAGAATCTCTTTACACAGAGGAGACACATGTTTATGTATAAAAGATGTGAAAAAGTGGATTTTGCATAATAGTTGACCTTTAAAGCTTCACCTGTGGTGGGATGACGTAGTCCTCCGGCCCCCACACCAGCCGACCAGACTCCGAGGTGTTAGTCACCGAGACTCCTTTCAGTTTAGTTATCACAGAGCTCTGGATGGCAGTGTCTGTTTCCTGGTAGCCTTTCTTGCTTACAAAAACCCAGCTGTGAGTGAGAGGAAAGATGTATAAGCTAAAAGGTGTGTTTAAACTTTAAAGCATCCTTTTGTCATTTCGATTTTCACATTGTTCATCTTAAACATTTCGTTTAACACAGATGTGTCGTTCCTTTTGGGATGAATTCCCATTTGAATTTAGTGGAACATTTACGTGGTATATCTAATCATGGAATATTATTTTAATTTAAGACTACAAGCTTTTACATTTGATTAAATTTCATTTAGCAAACACTTTAATACAAAGAGACTTACAATAAGTGCAATAAAGATACATATTCTGCTTTAATACCTTTGGGTAACTATAGGTTTAGGTTGTACTCTTATGGACTATTTTATGAATGACTGACACCTAAATAAAGGCTAAATAAAAAACCTATGTTTTTATAATAAAGCACTTGTGACTGAAAAAGTTAGTTTTACCTATGCTTAGATAGATAGATAGATAGATAGATAGATAGATAGATAGTACTTTATTGATCCCAAATTGGGAAATTGTTGTTGTTACAGCAGCATAAAAGGCATTTTACAATAAAACAAAACTACAAAATATACAAGAATAGAAAGAAAAATAAAATAAATATAAAATATACATGTTGAAATAGAAAATATACATGCAGATATTATATATATATATACAAATATATATATTAAAAATATATGGAATATGGAGTATAAATATTGAACAGATTAAAATTAAAATGTACAACGTGGTTTAATTTCTAGAGAAACTATGGAGCAGAGAGTTCTCTTCCAGAGGTGATTTATTGTACAGTATTATTGCAGTGGGCAGGAATGTTTTCCAGTATCTGTCCTTGTGACAGGGGAGCTGCAGCAGTCTGTTGGAGAAGGAGCTTTTAAATGTATGGGTTTTGCTGCAGGACGCGGAACAAGCCACAAACGTACACTGAACATTAAAAAAAGTAAAAAATACCCTGTTCTGTCACTTGGCCTCACAGCACTGACTGAAGCACATCATCTCTATAAAACACTTCTGTAAACTTAACAAAGTTTTGGCATATTGGTCATATGCAAAATATTTATCCTACAGTTTGATAATAGTCAACATAAACCCCTGTATTAATACTATGATTTATCTTCTCATGGTTAACAAGGCAGTTTTATTCTTGTAGTAATTTCTAACTTGTGCAATGAGGTTATAAAACTGTAAAAGTTGAACTGACTTACCCTATAATGTAGCCAATGATAGATAACTGAATAAGTCGGTACAAAACTCCAACCTTTTTATTTTTGGCAATAATGTACTTTTCCGTTTTATAATCGAATAAGGAGAGGAAGCGTCCTTTGAAGAAGCTCCCGGCCATCCTGCTGCTGTAACTCTGCGGAGACTCGGATGTCAGAGGATAAACATGCAGTGGCACGTTTACACCGAACATCACCAGCGTCAAGTCAGCATCAACAGGCAACTTACCCGGCTGGGACTTTCTAAATAAAACTGGATTTCTTACCAATGAGGTCGAAAAGAGACACCCGGTATTATCTTGAAGACATCATGGTGGTTTGAAGATTCTAATTTGAATTGATGGAAAGGACAACTATAAGATTGTTTTTTAATTAAAACCAAAAGTCTACAAACATACTGCCATTCGGCTTGACTTTTGAATGGTCGCAAATGTAGCATGCATGGGTGCTAGTTCAAGCAAAATATGGCTCAAAATTAAATATGAGATCTGTAGATATTTTGCTGGACCATGTTTCAGTGTAAGGAAGTCACCTCTGTTGGTGGTGCTCTTTGTTAAGCAGAGACATAGAGTATGATAAAGAGGTAAGATGTTTTCTGAGCGGCAGTCATCTGTGGCCTCCTTCCTTTCCATGGTCACAAAACTTGTAGGCCGAACACGTGAACAAGAGGTGTTATAGTTTCATGTGAAATACTTCTTTGTAAAACCACAACTCATCCTGCAGGCGCACTGACGAAAGAGAGGAGGCTACTCATTTACATCTGAGACGGCTTTTGGATACTTCAGGTGGTCAAGTCCGATCTAATTTCAGATAAATAGCATCATACTGCAGTATGATCTTTTAAAAAGGAATAAGGCCGCCATGGTAGGTAACCTGTAACCTATATATTTTCTTTTGAAATGTATTGAGTCGTTATCACAAATAGACGGACACACAAAGTAATAATACTAATAATCGTAATCATAATTACAATAAAGCTTTATTTGTGTAGCACTTATCATACACTAGGTGTAGCTCAAAATGCTTTAACAACACGGCACAAATGATAACGAAGAACAAGAAAGTCACTTCAGGTCAAATGTCAAAACCTTTTTGCACACATGCAGCATAAAAACATTATGTGACAATTCAAGCATCACAAAAAGGTAAAAAATGTAAGATAATAAAAAAAGTACAAAATGAATAAATACAATAAAAAATGTAAAACAATTAAATACATTAAAAAAACTAAAATAATAACGACCAATTTATTGTGGAGCAGTAAACCTGAGCAGTTGTTGCAATTATATTTATTGAACATGAAATGTAGGTATAAATATGCTTCTTCTACTTTCACTAGGCTTTGTGATAAACCTTTCCATTGGCCTTCACACCAAGGCCAAGCATCTACAGGAAGTGGTCTGGTGGAGGCATTTATGTCAGGCTTTATTTTACTCATACAGTATTCATCTATCATTGTGTCAAGAGAACAATACTTCTTGATTTGAATATATTGTTAGACATGATCCACTTAAATCTTAAGAAAAGAGAAACATTGTGACAAACATTTAGTCTGTCGTTCATGTGAAACGGAAAGACAACAAAGTGCCTCTGCAGATGAACTGTGATGGTCTTGTGGTTTTGTCCCATGATGCTTAGAGGGGTTTGCATTGAGCACAACCACAGCGCTGCTCACACTGTGAGAGATACTGACAATGGATACTGACGGGTGGATGTTCCTTTTAGCGCTTCGCTTTATTTGTGTGACTTCAAATGGTGAGTCCTCTTGTGAAATTAAATAATTAAAATACCGCGTTTTTCACATTATTTAATCAATCCATTTATTCTTTGAAACTTTGGCTTGGATATTCAAATGTTAATAATACCAAATCTGTTGACTTCAAGATAAGATATGACTACAATGAACTATGATGTTATTAATATATTTAAATATATGTCATAATAATTCAATAATGATAAATTACTACATACATATTTTTTCTTCTTCAATGTTAAATGTTTTATTTATATATTTGTCTGATTAATCTTCCTTTTATCCCTAGGTAAAATGATAATTATTAAGATAGTAATTTATGTCTAATTAAGCTTCTCCTATTTTTTTTGTTTCAATGTTATACGTTTTTTTTATCATTGTCTATAATAAGGCAATTAGCGTTTAAAAATGTTCATATGTTGCAGCTTTTTCTGCTGAATTTGCCTTTACAATTGTAGTTATCAAACGTTTCTCAACCCTTATGGTTAACTTTACCATGTCTACACTTAAGTATTGAATACATGAGATATGTGGCTTGAACCTTTTCTTGTATTTCTTTCGTCCCGCTCAGACGAGCCGTACAATAAGATGTCTTGTGTGAAGGATCCAGATGTGTGTGAGACGCACAGACTCAGCACTCAGCTTGGCTCCTCTGTGCTTCTCCCATGCAACTTTAAACCAAGTAACGTCACCTGGGTGTCATGGAGCCAAACTCCTGATCTGCACCTGCTGCAGCTCACGTCTGCAGGTCGCATCGTGTTCCTGAACCCCAGGTCTGGTCGTGTGAAGGCCTTTCCAAACCAGGGCCAAGAGGGGAACTTCTCCATCAGCATCAATGAGCTAAATAACTCAGACCTGGGGTGTTATGTCTGTACACGAGGAGATGACTGTCTTCAAGTGGAGTTGGTTGCTGAACATGGTAAGGTATTTCCTATTTTAAGATCATGTTAGTAGCAGCATGTGCAGAGACATGCTGCCTTTTTTTCCTTTCCATGGTCACAAACGTTGTGGGCCGGAGAGGGAGAGTGTGTGAGCGACAGTTTCCTGTGAAGTACAGTCTTGTGAAACCACATGTTGTTGTGCAGGTGCTCAAAGCGTAAACATGATGCTACTGATTTACATCAGTGCTGGTGTGGCTGCTTTCATCCTGCTGAGCGTCGGTGGCTACTGCTGCATGAAGTGTGAGTACTGCCCCAGTCTGACACTTTTAGTCCAAACAGTTCATCGAATAAGAAGTGCTTTGCTTGTTCAATGGGTTTATGGATGAATGGATTGGTTGGTTGATTCAAAGAAAAACTTTTTTTATTTCAGTCTGCTGTAAAAACACAGCTTCGTACAATCCTGAAGGTGCAGGTACGGAGGGTAAGCAACCATTTTTACAATTTACCGTTTAAAGGTGGTGTAGGTAAGTTTGAGAAACCGGCTCGAGATACACTTTTTGTTATATTCCATGGAATGCTCTTAACATCCCGATAGCAATGAATATCTTAAGTGCTTTGACAAAATATCCATACAATAATGTCATCTGTTGAAGCCGTAATACTGTAAAAAGCACGACCAATCATTTTAGCCGGCCCGGCTAAAATAACTGGATGGCCTACCTGCCTGTCAGCCTTCCATCTGTGCACAAACTTATCTCATGCCCTCATTGGTCATGTGCGCGTTCGTGTGTGTTGGAGGAGGGGCTCTGTAAGGAAGTGGCAGATTTTCTCCAGTGGTGTATTTTCAAATTCTAGCGATCTCGAGCCGGTTTCTCAAACTTACCTACCCTGCCTTTAAGTTAGAAAGGCCTATTGTAAAATGTTGCCCAGTACACGGTTGCAGTCAAAAATAAAGGCAGATACTTTAAAATAAAATACATGAATATAGTACAGCCAGGCAAGGCATCTTAAATTAAAATACATGTGTAAACTTGCATCTGTTATTTAAAAGACAAAATGTCCACAGCAGAGCACCCTGGCAAAAGACAGGGTTAAATAGCATTGTAGAAAAATAAACAGTTGCCACCTGTCCTTCAAAAGATTAGTTAGTTTGGGGAAAACATTTTATTATTTCAGGTCAAGAAGATTGATACCACGTCATGAAATGTTGTTGAGAGGTTCTAAGAAAGTCAAAAAATCCCCCGTCTAGTGAGAGAAAAATCCCTCAAACGTGTTTGCGGGAGCATTATCTCATACTGTAGGTTGAGAAAAGATCATCGTCTCATATACATGGAGATTTTAGGTTACTACAAATGGATGAACAGTTATGGGTTCAATGTTTTGGATAGAGGAGACTGGACAGACTTTTCTAGGTTTTTTTACCTTTGACCTTATAATGTCCCCCTGCAGGTGTCAGTCCTTCACAAGAGGAAACAGGCAGAGTGCCAGTCGGCCAACAGCAGGGAGGTAATCAAACAAAGTCATTTATTTTAACACATGTGATGCACAATAAGACAATAAAGAAAGTAATATATATGTTGTTTTTTTCTTGACAAGTAACTGTCCTGTACACTGTGTGTGTCATTTCCCTACAGGTGCAGACAATCATAGTCTTGTTTATGGTGAGTGCACAATGCTCTGTTTCTTCACTTTTTTTCATGGATTTTTAAAAGATAATGTCTTTGTTATCAAACGTAAAAAAAATCATCATTGTATTATATTTTCAAATACCAGAAAATGAGGACCAAGGCCCATTCAACCAGCAGGAGGAACCCGGAGATTATTGCAACACAGTTTCAGGAGCGATGCCTCATCCCGACCTGACTCTGCACCCTGACAGTAGCAGTGGGATGTATCCAAACCTCAACCAGTTCCAGAGGACGGAGAGTCAGAGGACTAAACTGAGATTTCATAGAGGTGCTTAACATCTAGCATAATTACTTACACAACTACTTCTCATACAGCATCTCTATAAAGTATGTGTATTCACTCTCTGTCCTACACGGCTTGTTGGAGCTCCTGCCCCCCCCCCCCCCTCCCTGTGAGCCCACTGTGCTCTGATTGGTCAGCTCGCCCACTCTGTTCTGATGAGTCCACCACCGTTACAGCGGAACATCAGTGATTATGTGTTACAATGGCATTAGCAACCAGAAAATGACACCTGTAATGACAAACAGATGAGAATGCTGCGTGGGGTCTGGGTGCCGTGTTGGCGGGACGTTGCGCGGCTCGCTGCTGCAAGGAGCGGACAGTGTGAGCTGGGTTCATTTCCTGCTTGCTGCGTGGGGTCTGCGAGACAGCGAGACATCACGAATGGACGCGGGAAGGGGGGAGGATGCTGAGGGGGCTGCAGCACCCCCATCTGCGAGGCTCCACTAGCACCCGCACCCCCAAACGCGGCGCTCCTACAGTATAACGGCCCGTCCACATGGCGGCGTGTGTTGAAGCTTCAAAGCTTCTGCCCATTCACTTTGAATGGGGTGACGTCACGCTTTGCCGAACTGCATTGTGGTTCCGTCGCTTCGCTTTGCTCGCGTTGCTCGCATCAAGAGTAAAGCAATGTTCTACTTTTGAAGCTTCGACGGAAGCGTCAGCCAATCAAATCATATGCCAGTACAAGCTCTAGCCAATCAAACCGCGTGCTTGTGTGTCTGGGGCGGGAGATTCATGTGATTGGTTGTTGGTCGAGTTTCAGACACGCCCACCGGCAAGCTTCAACGCACCGCTGTGTGGACGCTGCGTCACAGTTTTGCCGCTGAGAGAGTGTGTGTGTGTGTGGAGCTCCACGGATCCATTTGGGTATGGTCACGTCACCATACCCAGGAAGAAGAAAATGGAAAAAGAAAAATCTCCAACGAGGCGTTCTGGGGCAGCATAGACACGTATTTTCTGTGTTCGAGTTTTACTCGCTACAGGGTGTACTTTGAGGGTTTGTGACTCTGCAGACCGTTTACATGCATAAAAACCTTCATAACACACAAGGGACGGGTAATAACCGGAAAAGCATGACATGGGACCTTTCAATTAAAATATATCACTAAAGTGGTTTTTTTGTATCTCTAACAAATACATATGAGTCAATCTGGAGCAAAGCCTGGATATGTTCTATACTGCTGAGTAGATTGGTTGTTAACATATCATTTTATTTACGTACAAATGTACCAGTATCAACAAGTGTCAAATAAATTAAGGTAAAACGTTTTTGTTTTTTTCAGTTTTAGGGGTAGTGGAGTAGAAGTAGAACAAATTTGAAAATGTTAATACTCAAGTAAAGTACAAGTACCTCACATGTTTTCAGAACAGTACTTGAATAAATGTACTAAAATGCATTCAACCATATGCTAATGACTGATTTTATTTTGACAAACTAAAGTAACTCAGTCTCCTGTCACCTCTCCAGAGCTCTTCAACAGATTACGGCAAGCAAGTGTCAAGCGCCCTTATTACGGTAATATAAGTATGTTTTATTAAATCACATAATTTCAATGTTTTCAGGAACTTCATCTGTTCATTTCCTTACACAGTTAACCAAGATGAAATGAGGCAACAACAAGCCAGTTCAACTCAGGAGGAGAAGCGTCGCAGAGGTATTTAGATTACATTTAATATTGATTTGAGTGTGAGAAATAAAAGTTGAATGCACAAAATGTAATCAGTTTGATTGTTTGTTATTGTGTTTGGCTGCAGGTTTGGGGAAGAAGAAAGCCAAAGAAAGTGAGTGCTGATCTGTTGGCATGTTCAGGATGAAATAATATCTGCTCAACTTCTCTCCAACTTCTCCATTGTTTCCCTGTCAGATGCTGAATTCAAAAACCCGATATACAACAGGAGCGTAGACCAGCTCAACCACCTATAGAGAATTAACCCTTCTCTTGCGTTAGGTTTTGACCGGTGTGTTTTGCACAGTGATATCTCTGGAACCCCTTATCCAATTTTGTTGGTTGACATCTCATTTGAACAGTCAAAGCAAGTAGAATCAAGGGGTGACAGACAGAATGACACCAGGCGTGAATTTCATATTATTTTTGGCAGTAAGTTCAAAGATAGTGCTTATTTTACATTACTGTATATAATAAAAATGCTTGTCATGTAGGCTGTGTTTACTGGAGATGGAAATGCTTTAGTTAGTGTTGTAGCTGAGATCCCGTTCCAATGATGTATGGGATGTATTGATTTGAGACAAGCAAGCCAGTGTTTTCATGTTCGTGTGTGTGTGTGTGTGTGTGTGTGTGTGTGTGTGTGTGTGTGTGTGTGTGTGTGTGTGTGTGTGTGTGTGTGTGTGTGTGTGTGTGTGTGTGTATAGATGTTTTCCATCTGCAGGATGAACATAATACACTCATACCCATTCATTTTTCTATGGCGGTCAATTCTGACCGAAAACATCAAGGGTGTTTCACTGTTGAATACATCACTCAAAATTCAATGCAAGTGGTGATCATCAAGTGTATATGTTCAGAGGCCTAGTGTGGAAGATAACATAAGGTATTGAGGCAATTGGATGAAAAACACAATATTTATGATTAAAACAAAAGTCATTTGGTCACTTTTGACCCGAAACGCAAGAGAAGGGTTAAAGAGATTTTAAACAGCTGCTGAGATATTAGCAGTATCAACATCCTTTCCAATCACGGTTGTGTTTACTATTTTAACATACTATAACTTGATACATGTCTTGTTTGCTGCATAATAGTACTGTTTTTTTTCTGTACCTCTATAAGACAATGACACATTGTTGTTGGGTGAAGTTTATCAAATAAAATCTTAACATAAAATCCAGTAGTATTCGGTATGTTTGTTTAATGAGACAACCCTGTGTATGCAAAAGGTTTTAAATGCATTTGAAACAGTACTTTTATACCATATCAATTGCTTTTATGCACTCAGGTTGACTTGCAGAAAAAATGTAGCCTATTTTTAACCAAACCACACTGACACCTACAGCCAGTTTAGAGGGTTTTTTCCTGCATAAATGTAAACTGAATCAGAATCAGTTTTATTGCAAAATAGGTTGCCACATACAAGGAATTGAAAACACAGTACGAAGAGAGCAAACATAGAAATATTACAAACAATATACAATAAAAACTATTATGAAATGAAAACATTTGTACAAAAAATAAAAGGGATGAAGTATGGTGCAGAATTGTGCTAAATAGTCATATCAATTTGCAAAGCTTCCAACTGCAGGAGAATACGGTGAGAAACTGCAGAAATGTCCCTGAAATGGGTTGTTTTTTAAGGTGGTGACAGAGTTTCTGTGAGTTGCTTTCACTCTCCTGAGAGCTGTGCCAATCAGGCCAAATGAGAAGCAGCTGCTGCACCTGTCACACTTTCCAAAGATGTTGCTACACAGCACAAACTTCATTTTGTTCTCATTATCACTGCTAATTTTGAAATGTAAAACTCATGCTGCTACAAAGCCACCCCAAGCAGCAGTTTCTAACACTAACAGTAATCATACATCCATTTGCCACGATGGGTTCATGTCTGTTTACCTGTCAAAGAGGCAATTTCCTGATCTCCCTTTCAATATTTATGTTCAAGGTGAGTCAGACATTTGCAAAATATGTATTGATCATGATACATAGCTTGTTAAGAATGTACTATGCTATTGATTGTGTCTAAATGTACACACAGATGAGCACAGCGGGTATTACCAAGCCATCTCCATAGCAAAACAGTGCCACTACTTCCTTGGAGAGGCTGACACCTTTATTGTCCTAACAGTCGCTCCAAATGGATGCTTTGTGAGAAGACAAGTAAGCTTACAAGTGTGTGTTTAATTTTAATGCTGATTTGTATTTTTCACATTCTAATCTGACCATTTCGTTCAATAGAAGTATGTCACAAGTCTGACTGTTGTCATCACAGCACTAGACAGAGGAAGAGTTGACATTGTCAAGTCAATACCTCTGATCTGTGAAAGGAAAGTCAAAGGTAGTAATCCTAGCTTTAATTGAAATATAATGCCAACATGTTTAAGGAGTTAGATTATTATTAATTCTCAATTCTTTTTTTACAGAGGTGAGGAGAAATGATAAACCACTGGCGTCAAAAAATAAATTCTGCAACAAGGATGGGTTCAACTTTACCGTTTATCAAAATGCCACAGTCCCACCTCTGAACCTGGATGCTGTCTGGATCCCTTCTGGTCAAAGTGACAATTGTAAACCTAAAATAAAATCCAAGGAAGCTGTCACATTCAGCTTTCCATTCACTGATTGTGGCACTCAGTCCAAGGTTAATTCAATTAAATAACCTCCCATCATCAGAGAAATCAGTGATATTTTATAGAACAAAAAGTATTGTATTTGCTGTGTCTTGCAGATATCAGAAGGGATTATGACCTACTGGGTCAACATTGAGGTGAAGCAACATCTGCATGAAGGCTCTATTTTTCGTGATACTCCTTTCCTGTAAGAAATTTAAAATAACCCACTTCTCCTGCTGTATGAGGGTAATGGCTATTCATTTACTTTTTCAATTGTTTCGTAGTCATACTGTGCATTGCAGCTTTGCACTGGCACAAATCAGTCAGCTGGGTGTCGAGGATAAGCCAGGAAAATCGGTGTACCTGTCCACACTGAGGAATGAGGGAATACTGAGGACGGAAATGAGGTTTGCCAAAGGTTAAGTTGGTCGAATTGTTGCTATACATTCCTATTTTTTTACTTTTGTTGTCTATCTCAAATGTATGTGTCTGTTTGTACATTTGTATCCAACACAAAGTCTTCAAACAATAGAAAGTCCCATCAAAAAAGTGATAATGCACGACATGAACATAAATGAACTGCTTTTACTTTGAATGGACAGTTTCAGATTTGCTAAAGCCTTATTTATTTGTTTTCAATCATCATTAATCTACAGATTCCAACTACAAGTATTTCCATTCCTCTCGAGACCCTCCTACAGTGACTGAGCTTGGCAAGCCTGTGTATGTGGACGTTTTTGTTCTCAAACATGAAGACAAGGACTTGGTGCTCTTGCTTGAAGACTGCTGGGCGACACCAACTAAAAACCCATATGACCCACAAAGATGGAACCTGCTGGTTAAAGGGTGACTTCACAATAAGACATACATTTTAATATCCAAGAAGGCAATTTGTATGTTAACATATTTGCCTGTACTGATCAACTGAATTCCCTTATCCAATCCAGATGTCCTTTCAGTGGTGATAGCCACCAAACTGGTGTGTTGCCAGTTGTTCCAAAGGTGCTAAAATATCCCTCTCTTCATAAATGGTTTGTGGTCAAGATGTTCTCATTTGTGAAGCCACCAGCATTTGAAAACCTGGTATGTAAGACAAATAACAAAATTTAAATAAACAGATCAACAATAACGTTTTTAGGCTTGGGGATGTTTTTAAAATAGGATGTTTCCTTGCAGGTATATTTCCACTGTGACATAGAGATAAATAAGGGACCAGATTACTTACAATCCTGCAGTAACAGTAAGTGGATTTGCAGACTTGTTAACCTGTTATGAAGTCTATGTTGGTTTAGTGAATCACACACTTTGTTACATTGCATCTAACACTGTAAAATATTTGTTTGTTTTTCCATGTCTTTCAGAAAGCCGTAAATTAAGAGAAATCGCACCAGGACCAGAACAGAGCATTCTTTACAGTGTAGTCTCTGGTGGACCTCTTATTTATCTGTAAATAACCATGAAGAAAACCCTGCTATTTCAAGCACACTTTAGAAATGTTCAAGCAAAAAATGATTTGTTGTAAAATAAACCTGTTACAAACTATAATGGCCTGATTCATTTTCTAGATTCATCTTAACTAATTTGGTGACATTTAAAAAAACAAATCAACCCACCCATAGTCAACCTGCTACCCTAAGGACTTTTAATGAATACCTACAAAATATGTCATCATAATGAACATAATGATCCCTGGAAAATGTTTACATTCAGAAATACTAAGTGAGTGGTTCTTAACTTTGTTTTCATACAGAGAAAACTGTTATTTAAGAAAGTAAATAGAATTGTGAACATATTGTATTACATTCTATTGTGATACAGTAAGTCGGTTTTAGTACATTTAATTTCAGGCAAGCTTTTATCGTGGTAGAGGCTCTTCGGTCATGTGCTCCCACCTCGACCAATAGAAACACAGAATGAGATAGTTTGCGGAAGTTGTACAGCGAGCGTGTCGTCTTTGAAACGACACACAGAAATCTGAAAGAAACTTTAATTTTGTAAAGTTTTAAACCGTAAGTGGGCAAATAACTCCAACTAAACCGTGTACCGGGTGATAAACATCGATATTAGCTTCGTCTGTTCAGCTCCTCACACTGTTCTCTGCGGGTAAAGGTACTCAGAGTTGTCTGTTATTATGTCCAAGTCAACGAGATTGGACCCGAAAGAAAATGACCCGAAGAACCTGCCGATCTATCAGCACAAAGCCAAGCTGGTTCAGGCCGTCAAAGACAGCACTTTTCTGGTCATCACCGGTGAGACTGGCAGCGGGAAAACCACACAACTTCCAAAGTACCTTCATCAAGCTGGTAAGCTGTCTTTTAGCTGCTTCCTCTGTGGTTATATGAGGTTTGCTATTGCTAATGCACAAACTACATAGATCAGAACAACTATGTAACAATCTTTAAAGTTCTAAAGTTAGATGACAGCATTTACATGTGATTTGTGGTTTAAGGGGAGATACACTACTTCTAAAAAGGGTTTAAATGTTAAATAAAAAAAACATCAACATGCAATGCAAAGTAAAAATGTATAATTACAATACAAAGGAATGCGAAGGAATGTTGTTTTATGTTAGTACCTTACTGCTAAAGCGAAGATGTCTGGCTCAGAGTAGGCTATGAGAAAAAAGACACACATATGTTTGACAAATTGTCCTTTAAAGTTATGTATTGAAAAATGACATACATTTTCAAACTTCCCCTGATGATTTTTCAAATGTGTATTGGAGAGGCTTTCACTAATGCTGATTGTAGGATACATCTACAGATTCAAATACACAACTTGTTGTAAAATAAAAAACGAAATGTGTACTTTCTTTACAGTTGTCTGAAAAAAAACATATTTTGGCAGAAAAATAGCCCATACTCTCAAAATTGTGTA